GTGTGTGTGTGTGTGTGTGTGTGTGTGTTCTTCCTCAAGTTCTGTATAACTTCTTTTTTTGTTTTGCATTTTCTGAACATTGCATATCTGTGTATGAATGTCTTTGGTCACAGCGCTTTGAAAAGTATATATTCAAGTGGGCGATATATGGTTTTGTTAGTCAGCCATTCATTTAAATCAGTAAAATTCTTGAACTGTCAGCATTTGACAGTTAAGATTTCAAAGAATTAAATACACAGACAAATATATTTGGATCTGTCATTGTAACTGCTATTGTCTCGAACCTCCTTCACTAACTTAAGTCATATATGTTAATAACGATAAAAAAAATAAAAAAGAAGTTAATCCCTGGGTAAATAAAAGTTACAAGCAAACTACCTTATTAATATATACCCTGTTTACCGACTAATAACCTCTATCTATGCTTATTAAGCATTTCTATCTATTCATTTTCAGACTAAGTGAAACGGGAAATTACAAAGGACAATTAAGACGAAAAAATAAAAATAACTTGGTAAAGATTCGAACATTGCACGCACAGTATATGTTACAATTAATTCGGATTAGAGATTCATAAGTAAACAAGAGATACCTCGGGTTTTCTTGTTTCATAATCAATTCATAAAAGAAGAGTAAACAGTTAAATAAATATGTTTGGCCAATGGTAGTACGATAGAAAAATAATATGATAGATCCGTATCTTCTTGAAATAAAAATAAATTGTTTTTTTTTATGCAGATCAAAATTATTTACTTTCTATGATTTTTTTGTTTCATTTTGGCAAAAGACTCTTTACTAGATCCAGGAATTTTGAATAGTCTCTTTTTTCACTTAACTATACTGCATCTTGAAGATTACAGATGGACTGAACATACACACGTCCATAGATACACATGTATTCGCTATGTGTCCAGATTTTATATGTTGCTATTTCTTATGATACGTTTGAGCTGTGACATTCGTTTTTTACGGCATTTTCTATTCTTATTTGGATATTAACATCACTTTCTCTTCATATGATATACACGAAATTTACAAATATCACAATCCTACAAAACTACACATTTAGTACTGTTATAAGTTACCCCAAATAAGAAAAATAAATACATGGGTTAAACAAAATAAATAAATACACAAATGGATAACCAAATAAACGAAATATTAATCCAATCTCCCAAAATAAACAAAATCTAAAACGGGAAGGAAGAAAAATCAATCCATCCGTCTTGTAAAAAAAAGAAAAAAAAAACATAGCTTGAAATGGCCCGATCATTTCTCTTTCTCTCGTGGAGTAAATTCAAAGGAAAATACTAAATAGTCCCAGGGGAGTAATAAACATGGTCCCTTCGCCAGTAGCCCATAAACTCCTATTGAAGAGGGGAGGGAGGGGGGGGGGCTAGGTCAAAAGTCAGGTCAGGGGGAGGGAGAAGTCAGGTCAAAATAGGTGTTTGAGCATTGGGCGTGAATGGGATAAGTAACGAAGCGTTTAAGTCTTGGGGGGGGAATTACTTCGTTAAATCTATTTTTTTGTGTGTAATTTTTAAAAAGTTTTGATGGTAAATGTTGAGAAAAATCGTAGTTTTCTTTTTTGATTGTTGAGGTATTTTTTTTTTATTTGAGAGACTCGAGGAAGGCAAGAGAGGAAGTCGTTTCGAGGGAAAGATATAAAGACCGAGATTTTGTGCGGAAGGAAGGAGAGAGGAGGGGAGGGGGGGGGAGGGGAAGAGGGAGGAGCGGCAGATTAAAAGAAAGAGAGAGGGAAAGAGGGGGAGGGGAGGAAGAGAGAAGGAAAGAGGGGGGGGGAGGGGGAAAAGGGAGGGTAGATGGGAGGGGCAGTCGGGGATTAACTGTAACATAACTCTCTCTTTGGGCTTCATACGTTGACTTCCTAGACTAATTATGTGTCAAAAATCGGCTTCTTTTGAAGTGGGATTATCACCTGCAAGTTAGTTAGGGGAGGCTGGGTGCGCGAGAGGTGTAGAGGGGTGGGGGAGGGGGGTTAATGGGGAAGAGAGGGAGGGGGAGGTAATGGGAGTGGGGAGTGAGAGGTGGTAGGGGCGGGGGAGGTGGGGTTAATGGGGAGTGAGAGGGGGTGGGGGAGAACGCCACTGTACAGTCACGTATTCGCGATGTCCAGCACATGTGTTCGGCTATTGTTAAAGTTACAAATTTAGTGACAGAAGAAAAAAAAATTGTGTGTACGTTTTCTCCGTATTTTCTGATTTTTTTCCCAAATGACAGATGGTTCTTACTTTTTCTTTATCTGTTTTTTTTTTTGTAGAAGTATTTGTTAGTTTGTTTGTTTGTTTGTTTTATATACGCCACCTTAATCAGACTCTGGGATAAACACACTGAGATTTAAGATGTGAATTATTTTATTGATCCTTTTTTTTCTATTTTTATATTTTTTTAGTATTTTCTTTGGAACACTATACGCACGATATACTCGAGAAAAAAACATACTATTGCTATATCTCTCCGAAAGCAGATTCCTTCAGAA